CCCGGTCTAGCTACCGCACGTCTCACTTAGGAAAATCTTCGTACTAGAGGCTATCGATACAGTCGCCCCTAGACCTCACAATGGTTCGCATCGCTGCTGTTGCTCTTCTGGCCTGTGCGTTATGACCACCTGCATCTCATCCGTATCATTGCCCGTCACTAACATTTCAACAAGTCGTCATATCTGCCTCGGCGTCCCCTCGAGTACCTGTCGACGCCAATGAATCAATCCTCGACTTTGAGGGCAACCCTTTATCCGAGAACAAGCAAGAGGAGTTTCTTAAGCTAGATCATGAGGGCCAAAAGAAGTTTGACGGCCTTCTGGCTACATACACCCAAGACCAGCAGAACATAGACAAGGAGCTCCAAGATATCAGTGCAAAGCAAAGCGATATACTAGGCATTCCAAAGTCGGATGAGGAGGAATCCACACCATCAAATTTGACCGCCAGGGCGGCGCCGCACCTTCGCGGCTAGAATAGGTCCAATAAATCTAGTGCAGACATGCCAGTAATAAATGAATTGATAATTTTGGCATATCTTATGTTTTATTAACGGTGAGTCAGTATTTTTATGTTTTCTTAAGCTTAGTGATTTTACAATACGGAAAGAATTCAGTAGACGTAAAATCTCGTTGTTTTCAGCGCAACAATCGGCATCAGACGGACCGAAATGGAAACCAAACATGGGAGCAATCCAAGCGACGATACAGTTCACACTGGCCACAGGACGTTTCGACAATTGGCAGGCGAATCAGTACGAAAGGGCTTTTCATCAGACCATGAAACCACGTCCGCGGCGAGCATGACTAGCGACGCTTCGGCTGCTGTAGATAGGACGCCGAACACTTGGGGAATAGCCCTCAAGCTAGTTAGTCACTGATAATAAATCACGCGGAATGTTGGATGCTGGGGATGAAAAGACGAAGTGGAGAGAACAGAGAACGACAGGGATGAGGTGGAAGGGATGAGGCGAGTGGCCAGAAATGTACCTATGAATAGCTAGTGAGCCCTATTGGCTGGAAGCCACCGGGCGTAATAAAACAATGAAAGGAATTGTGAGCTCAGTTCTCGCTAGTTCTCGCTATCCTCGCCACACGCCACTAATTAAGCTAGACAAGTGAAGGCGGCGGGTAAGTGTTGATACAGCGTATTCGAGTTTGCTATAACACACCGTACTACTTATAGCCATCCCTGCAATTCAAGCCGTAGTCCATAACCCGTCATCTTTACTTCGTGTTGATTAATGCAGATTTGTGCCTTAGCCCCCACCTGAGCGAGGCAAAACTTTAACAGTCTGTGATTCATCTAGCTACTATAGTTAGGCAAGTAGCTGATTTATTTGAATAAGTTTCATGCATTCTGCCATTTTACCAGTCGCACGAGGTGTGGGTTATGAGACGAGATAGCCTATAGGGCTTGGCCTATGTGGGTTACAACATACAGCAGGGCAGGAGCGGACCTAGCGACTGCCTTAAACGCTTCAACACAAGATTAAGTAGTATGTATCATTATGGCACCACAATATCCTTGCCAGTTAATTTCATGCATATCTAGTCCTGCCTTCTTCTGGTCTAATAATGTAGTTCTTAGCATGGCACCCACTGCTCTGAATTCGATAGATAATATCAATACTAACCCTTTCTTCTAACCTTCAAGATGACAATTCTACCTCAAGCAAAAACTTATTACCTCTTCTTTTTGAGCTAGCAGCTCAGTCTGCTTACCTATCATTGCTTACTGCGAAACTACAATAACAATGAAATACTCTATGATCCTCATTGCTGCCTTTGCTACCGCCTCTCTCGCTGGACCAACTACGAAAGCACGAAGACAGAATGTTCCTATAAGAGACGAGCTTTCTAAGCCATTCAATGGCAACGACAACGCCTGCACTAATGCAATAAGGGAGTGTCTGCAGAAGGAACGGAGAGATCCAGAGAGAAACCACACATTTGTGCATGCTCCGGTTGAAGGAGGAGTGGACGAAGACAAGCAGCAGAAAGACCAGCAGCAACAGAAGCCAGGATTGGGCGAAAGATGCACTCTTAAGCCCAACAGCTGCGCTGATGGATTAGTATGTTAATCCGACCACGTTTATCAATGCGACCACAGGAAGATGTTTTCGGGA